AATCAGGATACAAAAAAAGATAACTGTAATCAGTTACAGTAACAGAAAAAAATTTAATCAGATTACAGTTACATTTAGTCAAAAGGGGGGATTACTAGCAGTATTTAAAATTTTAAAATACATCAGTTTTTCTTTTTTAAGGTGACATTGTTCTGTTCTTTTATAGAATACACATCATTTTATTATTATATATTTAATTTCTCTTGTCTTTATTTGCACATTTGGTCTTGAGGTAATCCAAAAGTAACGGAACATAATCAAGTTACATAATTTACAATTTGAAAGTGTATCGGATTACATTGTTAAAGCCAACCCTCTCAACCCTGCTAAAAATATAATCAGCAGCGTAAATCAGAAGCACAAACTGGGATTATGATGGGGTGTAATTAAAAGATCGAGTTGCATTATGGGAAATGTAGGATCCAGCAGTTTTGGAGCTTAACCCATAACAACTGACTAAAAATCAGGATATCTTGGCATCTGCTGCTTCTTTTATTGACTCATCTTTTTTTTTTGTGAGTCTGGATCTGCAGCACTGAATTGTCAGAGTGCCCCTTTAATATTATGTGAAATGTAAATGATCTAACATGTGTGTTTAACACTCCTCCATCACTGATGATCCCTCCAACATACTAAAAACCAACATAAGAAACATGTGATGGTAGTTGGTGGGGGGGTTCCCTGTGAGGAAAACCTCATCACTCGGGGTCTCTGGTGGTTTTGATGTATCACTAAATAAAGCTGCCGTGACATGAAAGCTACACTGAATCATCCCAAAAAAAAAAAGAAAAAGAGAAAGCAGTATAACGTGTAAGTGTTTGATCTTCAGAGTGCAGGGTGCTGTTGGCTCCAGCCCACAGAGGAGTGGGAGCCTCCACTGCCTCGCTCTGATTGGCTCAGACACGGCTAACTCCATTTTGGAAAACAGCTGTTTGAAGACACAACCTTTTTTCTCTCGTTGTTTTTCCGACGGTATCCTGAGAAGGAAGGAGGAGAAGAAAAAAAACAGGCTTTTGAAACACACACACACACTTCTCCAGCTTCCTCTCCACACCAGCCTGCTTCAGTTTCTGCCCAGTTCGGCGTGCTGTGGTTGGGTTTTTCTTTCTGTCCGACTGCCAGGAAACTTAACTGAGGATCCATGGTGTTAGATTTCCATTGTAACAAGTGGATAACAGGAGGCGACCCGACCAAGGTTAGTGTATTGCTGATATGTGTGCAGCGGGGGTGGGTAGCACGGCTCTCTCTCTCCTTCTTTCTTTCTTTCTTTCTTTTTTTCTTTCTTTCTGTGGATTTACATGCTTTCAGAAAAAAAAAAAAAGGTCTGTCAGTGACTGTATGAAGTGACCAACCGCAGGGAGCTGCAGAGTCACGAAGCGAGGCTTTCTACATGCCTCCAATGGGGCATTTGTGCAGCCTGCACAGCGAGCAGACAATGCATCTCCCTGCGCACCGTGCACACACTCACTGCTCTGTCACACTGGATCAAAATGAATGCGTCTCCTCGCTGTCAGATCATGTTTAAATTGCATTGTGCATGTAATAATACTCAACATTTTTCCTCCTCGAATGGCATTCAAGTGCATCCATTGTGCGCTTGTGTGTGTACAGTGTAAAGGAACTGGCATGCACGTCCTTCCCACACATTAGCTGCTGCATTCAGGGTAGCTAATGACAGCCTGGATCGCTTTTGAAAGCCCTCATCTCCTCTCATCGACTGTGCTTTTTTTGTGTGTGTTTTTTTTGCTCTGTCAATGCACCCAGCCAACCCCCTCCCCTCCTCATTCCTCTTGTGTAAACACAAATTCAATTCGTTTCATTTCTTAATCTTAAAATCACAAGGCAGTTGATGGCAGAAGGGTTTTCATGCAGTAATAGCTGGCTGCTGAGAGAAGAAGGATCATGTCAGTGCAGTTTTTTGGAGGTAATTGTTGGAAGATGACAGGGCTGGATGCTGGATGGTGCTCAGAGATTCAGCAGCAGGCTGGTGGGGGAGCTGGGACCCCCCACTTTGCATGAGTGTTGCTGGGCAAGGGCCAGCGTTACTGGGCATGAGCACTGGTGAAGATAAATACTGGCTTCTTGCCTGCCTGTGGTGGTTTGCTTCACTGTCGACTGGCTGGCTGTCTGCAACCAAAACAGTGTTCTCCCTGAGCCCAGTCAGTGGTTAGCATGTATTATAGACATTAAAATGCACCAGCAGTTCTGATTATATTAAAGTAGCACAACTTACAAGTGTTGCAGACAGTATTTCAGGCCACTGTCTTTATGACATGGACAAGCTTAGCAAAAACAGGGTGATATGCACTGATTTTTTTCAGTCATTTTCATGTCTCAGGGAAGCTCAGTTGCGACACTTGAAATTCCACATTTTAGAAAGAAAAGCAAGCAAATTATCTGGGGTAAAGCAAGTAATGATTATCTTTATTTTTCCACTGATTTTCTCGATTAATTAATCAAAGATGATTGTAAAATCACAATTTCGTCTGACCGACAACCCCAAAACCTGAAGATATCCAGTTTACTCTCACATAAGAAGAAGAAAAACCAGCTAATCTTGATAATTTACAAGCTGCAACTCGATTGCACCTCATGTTTGCGTATTTTGTAAAGAGCTCGAGCTGAAGGTGAATCTGTCTGGCTGTACTTCAAAAGACAACATCATTATTGGACAGAATTTTGACATTAAAGAGCATATCATGTTTTTACACATTGGTGGCAGAAGCAAGCCACCTGGTGAAGGTTTTGTCCGATCTGTACACATATCTGATGTCAGATATGGCCTTCTTTGGAATAGCTCTCTACTGCCTCGTCTCCCCTCTTTGTACTGGCTAACCAAACATGGTCTGCTATCCTTCAAAATGGCCAAGAGGGGGGTGGAGAGCAGCCAGAACAGAGAGCGCAGTGATGCAAGAAAACCCCAGCTACTAGAGAGAGACACATGCCCTGCTGACCTTGGACAGAACCCTGCAGAACCTTCCCTCCCGTGTTTCAATCATATTTACTGAATCAAAACAAGTCTGCAGAGAGG